TCCTACCGCGAAATGGATTTTGTTCCAAAATTTAAAATCTTCGGCGGTGTCTCCAGAATTTTTTGGTTTATGTTAAACCCCCCCACCGTCCCCCCTCCTCCGGAAACACAAGAATAAGGGAAGGAAGGACACCAAGCGGGGCCCCCCGGCGGGGAGTTTTTGGGGGGGAGAAACACTTGGGGGGGGGGGGGGGCTGACCTCTGGTGTGCTCTGCAGGGAATGCAGTGGGTCATCAAGCCCTCGGAGCTGAGCGAAGAAACATGGCGAAGCCCTGCTGGCCTCCCCTCATCCCCTCAGTACCTGGAACAAGGTGCGGGCACAGAGAGCTGAGGCGGGGGCCAGGCCTTGGGAGTGAGAGATGGCGACTGCTTTGCGGCCAGAAGGCGCAGCCCTGGTGGTGGTGGGACCCACTGGCCTCGGCCACTGGGGGGCAGAGCCCTGAGCCATGTGTGTGTGGGGGCCTGAGTGGCCGTGGCTGCCCCGGCGGGGGAGGGGCTGGGGTCCTTTCTGAGCCTCGCCTTCCTCCCGCTCGGTAGGATCTGTACCCGGTGATCAATGGGGGCGTCCCCGAGACCACGGAGGTGCTCAAGGAGAGGTTCGACCACATCCTGTACACGGGCAGCACTGGTGTCGGCAAGATCGTGATGACGGCCGCGGCCAAGCACCTGACCCCGGTCACCCTGGAGCTGGGGGGGAAGAGCCCTTGCTACGTGGACAAGGACTGTGACCTGGACGTCGCCTGCCGGTGAGGGGCTCAGCGCCTGAGCTGGAGCGGCCATTCTGACTGCGGCCGGCTCCCGGGGACCACAGCTGCGCTCTGAGCGACACAGACATGCCCCTGCCCTAAGGGCCTGTAGGCCTGGGCGGAGCTTGGGCAGCCAGGGGGAGCCGCCAGCCCAGGAAGGCAGGAGAGGAGAGGTCCAGCTGGGGCTCTGCCCAGCTTCCCCCTCCCACGTGCATCGCCTCCCAGGTGGGGATCCCGGCTGGCAGGGCTCAAGAGCGAGACAGCGGGGCACAAAGGCTGTCTGCCCAGACACCCCCAGAACCCCCTGCACTCGCCGATGAGGGAAAGATGTGCGGGGACCCAGGCCCTGGGGGCATGTCCAGGGACAGGGGGCGCCTCAGCCCAGAATCTGGGAGCCAGGGCTGGCTCTGCTGGAAGTCACATCCGCGCTCTGCCCGAGTCCTGACCCTGAGCCTAAGGGACAGGGCACCAGCGCCTGGCAGCCTCCGGGCTGAGAATACGGTCTGACCTGGGATTTTCGCAGGCGCATCGCCTGGGGCAAGTTCATGAACAGCGGCCAGACCTGTGTGGCCCCCGACTACATCCTCTGCGACCCCTCCATCCAGAGCCAGGTCGTGGAGAAGCTCAAAAAGTCCGTGAAGGTGAGTGCAGCCCCAGGGGCGAGGCGGCCGGGTGGCCAGGTGGGTGTGGACTTCAGAAAACTGGATTTTTTCCTGATCATAAATGTAATCCACACTCTGTAGATAATTTGGAAAAAGATTAAAAAGCATAAAGAGGCCCTAACCGGTTTGGCTCGGTGGATAGAGCTTCGGCCTGCCGACTGAAGGGTCCCAGCTTCGATTCCGGTCAAGGGCATGTACCTTGGTTTCGGGCACATCCCCAGTAGGGGGTGTGCGGGAGACAGCTGATCAATGTTTCTCTCTCATCGATGTTTCTAACTCTCTATCCCTCTCCCTTCCTCACGGTACAAAATCAATAGAATATA